TGACATCATTCTCGGCATCCCTCACGTGGGAACAACAGCAAATACCGAGGAATTCTCTAAAACTACACAGGAAAATCTACAGGTTGCTTTTGAACTAGCGCGCCGTAACCAATCGGAACGCACACAAAAACAAGCTGCCCAGAACGCTAAACTGCGCCCTATCCCTGTGTTTAAACCTGGTGACCTAGTACTTGTGTACCGCCCATACCAGGATTCGGATGGACCAAATCCGAAACTATTGTTACCGTGGAGAGGACCTTACGTCATCTGCTCTAAATTATCACCGGTGGTATATAGAGTGAGACGCCAGAACGAAACTCGTGAAGTTTCGGTCCATTTAGCCCACATTAAACGGTACCACGCGAGGAAAACGCCACCTGCGCCAGATTTTGATAAACTTTCCGAGTTTTTCTTAGGACGCCAGATTCCGTTGCCCGAGCTAGACCATCCCGACGAAGCTTAACCGAAAAATCCCACGTCATTGATAAAGCGGTAAGCCATAAGAGTGGTAGGGGGCCGAAAACCCCATACAACTACAAGTATCGTTTGCGTCTTCGAGGATATGGCCCTGAGTCAGATCTTGAACATAGAGCAGACGAAATTCCACAATGTCAAGAAATGATAACTGCCTACCGAATCCGCTGTGGTTTGGACATCGTGCAGTCTGATAAATCTTCGTCTCGTGCCCCAGTAGAACAGGGAGACCCAAAANGATGGACCAAATCCGAAATTATTGTTACCGTGGAGAGGACCTTACGTCATCTGCTCTAAATTGTCACCGGTGGTATATAGAGTGAGACGCCAGAACGAAACTCGAGAAGTTTCGGTCCATTTAGCCCACATTAAACAATACTACGCAAGGAAACCGCCACCTGCGCCAGACTTTGATAAACTTTCCGAGTTTTCTTAGGACGCCAGATCCCGTTGCCCAAGCTAGACCATCCCGACGAAGCTCAACCGAAAATTGAATCCTACGTCGTTGGTAAGCCATAAGAGTGGTAGGGGGCCGAAAACCCCGTACAACTACAAGTATCGTTTGCGTCTTCGAGGATACGGCCCTGAGTCAGATCTTGAACATAGAGCAGACGAAATTCCACAATGTCAAGAAATGATAACTGCCTACCGAATCCGCTGTGGTTTGGACATCGTGCAGTCTGATAAATCTTCGTCTCGTGCCCCAGTAGAACAGGGAGACCCAAAATCACCCAGTAAAACAGGGAAACGAAAACGAAAACAGGCAACTGCTTCTCAAGAACCTTCAAGTCGGAAATTGGTGACGCAAAGTGGCTCTGAGCCATTGAACAAAACCAGGAAATGACGACGAAGGCGCCTTAAGGAGGTTCCATTACCCAATTCGCGTTCTGCGATGACAGAGTGATACCCAATTACCCTGCCGTACTAGCAAGCGAAAACAAACTAGGGCCAGGAAATTAAACGATTGATTTATTCTGTCATTCCTAACAGTTGCCATGTCTATCTGTTCCGACACTTGGGACATTTTCTACTTCTTTTATTCTGTGTTATGTTAGCACAGGACCAGTAGCCACGGTGGTGGGTTGTATCCATTGGAAACAGTTTGGGGAAGCACTCACGAGGAGAGTTGAACCGTTTTCCCAAAATCGTATTTTTGATGAGTAGATAAGCTTGCCAGAGAGTCACCTCATTACAAGTCTTGTATCGCTCATCAAGATTTTAATTATGATGAATAGACAAGCTTGCCAGAGGGTCACCTCATTACAAGTCTTGTATCGCTCATCAAGATTTTAATTATGATGAATAGACAAGCTTGCCAGAGGGTCACCTCATTACAAGTCTTGTATCGCTCATCAAGATTTTAATTATGATGAATAGACAAGCTTGCCAGAGGGTCACCTCATTACAAATTTATCCCTCATCAACCCCACAGCATAGCATGCTACACGAGTATGATCATGCGAAATATTATAGTACACTAGCTGTCATCATGATAGCCCAGTACTCAAATTGTTTTTTTTCTAGACTATACTAGTATGGACCACATCTATCACTACTCCGTCTGAGGACTCCGTGTTATTTTAACACGCGTTGTACGATGATCAGGCCGAGTTGATGTTGTACCAGGTAGGTTAACTCCGATACATGTGTCTCCATGAGCCACTCATGTCTCTGACCGCCAAAAGCACATCTTTAGCACAGATGGACTTGTGGCGCATAGAGGGGGGGGTGATGTGGAGGACACCTGTCGGGAGTATAACCAACCATGAGTGCACATACAAAGTGTAGGAAGATATAGCTCCATCGGGGTATCTTGTCACTGGGAGCGTGACAAGAAACGCACCGTCGGAGATTTGTCTCTTCCGANGCCATCGGGGTATCTTGTCACTGGGAAAGTGACAAGAAACGCACCGTCCGAGATTTGTCTCTTCCGAAGTCCATGGCCACTTGCCGAAAGGAGAAGCGGAGAGTCTTCGACTCTCCTCTCCCTCTGCTATCTCTGGCCACTCTTTCTTTCTACCCTCTTCTCCTCGTTTACATATCACGAGAGGAAATAGCCTTCCCCTGGCAGTGGGATAATATTGCCAAGGCACCGGCCTCTTTCTCCGACAGTAGCCAGGGTCCATATAGAACCCTAACCCTAAGTTTGTTTAAATTAGGTGCTGCTCCTTATCATATGTGGATAACAGACGTTGATGAAGGAGCACCTACTCTAGTTAGTCTAATTTTTTGCTCTTGTCCCTAAAGTTGCTTTTTTCGCGGTTGTTGTTTGTTGTTGTCTTCACATTAAAAACCATCCCGGTCTCTCTATCCAGTACCTCCTTCTGTCTCAATCTCTCCGTACTAATCCA